AAAAAAAAACAATTAGAAGAAACAGAAAAAGCAAAATGATTTTTGCATCAGTTCAAGTGGGTATATATTCAGTAAAGCATTCTGTAACCAGGCACATGGAGGAGAGGAAACCTGAAACAACAGGAATACACATACAATACAACTGCCCACCAATGTATAACATAAACCTACCACAACCCTAAGAAACTCACACCGAGCAAACTACACAAAAATATGGGGAGGGGCTGTTTGGAGATCTAGTAGATATAGGCAGCTGAAGTATACCTTGGCCCCACCCCTCCCACTTTCCGAGTCACCTTATTGGTCCTTTAGCATTGTGGGCAGTCTCAATGACCAAAACAGAAGGCTGGACAGGTGGCGCCAGTTTTGGATTTTTACAGGAAAAGTCAAGAGTTGAATATAACTTCAGCTGCCCGTGTGTCTGGGTCATCGGGTCGTTCTGACTTTAAAATTATTATTATTATTATTATTATTATACAGTATTTATAAAGCGCCAACAGTTCGCTCAGCGCTGTACATTACAAAGGGGGACAATACATGCGACAGAACAATAACAATGCAGTGCGATACACGAGGGGTTCGAGGGCCCTGCTCCTTGGAGCTTACAATAGGGGATAGTGATACAGGAGGAGATAGCTGTGGGGGATGGAGTGGTAGGAAGAGTGGAGGATTGTAGCCCCTCTTTAACCACTTCCAGTCCGGACACTTTCACCCCCTACCTGTCCAGAACAATTTTCAGCTTTCAGCGCTATCACACTTTGAATGACAATTGCGCGGTCATGCAAACACTGTACCCATATGCATTTTTTTTTGCATTTTTTTTGAGACAGATAAAACTTTATTTTGGTGGTATTTATTCACCGCTGGGATTTTTATTTTTTTGCTATATAAATTAAAAAGTCCAAAAATTAAAAAAAAAGTGTTTTTTCTTATAAAATTTTGCAAATAAATAATCTTTCTTCATAAATCTTGGCCAAAATGTATTCATCTATCTTTTTAGTAAAAAACAAAAACAAAATTAGTTTATAATCAAAAATTATAATTTTTTTCAAATTTGTTTTTTACGTTTTTATGTTATTTTTTATGGGTTTTTTTTGTTTGTTTGTTTGTTTTTTTTTAACCACTTCAAGTTCGGACACTTTTGCCCCCTTCCTGTCCAGGCCAATTTTCAGCTCTTGGTGCTATCACACTTTAAATGACAATTGCGCGGTCATGCAACACTGTATCCATATGAATTGTTTACCACTTTTTTGAGACAGATAAAACTTTATTTTGGTGGTATTTATTCAGCACTGGGATTTTTATTTTTTTGCTATATAAATGAAAAAGTCAAAAAAAAAAAAAAAATTTTTTAAATGTTTTTCTTATAAAATTTTGCAAACAAATAATCTTTCTTCATAAATCTTAGACAAAATGTATTCATCTATCTTTTTAGTAAAAAAAAAAAACAAATTAGTTTATAACCAAATAATTTTTCCAAATTTGTTTTTACATTTTTATGTTATTATTTGTTTTTGGGTTTTTTTAATCACTTCAGGTCCGGACACTTTTACCCCCTTCCTGTCCAGGCCAATTTTCAGCTCTTGGTGCTATCACACTTTAAATGACAATTGCGCGGTCATGCAACACTGTATCCATATGAATTGTTTACCACTTTTTTGAGACAGATAAAACTTTATTTTGGTGATATTTATTCAGCACTGGGATTTTTATTTTTTTTGCTATGTAAATGAAATGTCCAAAATTTTTTTAAAAAAGTGTTTTTTTTTTAATAAAATTTTGCAAATAAATAAATTTCATCATAAATCTTAGCCAAAATTTATTCCGTTATCTTTTTAGTAAAAAAAAAAAAAAAAATCCAAATTAGTTTATAAGCAAAAATTATAATTTTTAAACATTTTTTTTTACATTTTTATTTTATTTTTTTATATTATTATTTTTTATTTTTATTTTTTATTTTTTACATACTGTCACCCTAGCAGTACAGTGTCACCATGGTGACACTGTACTACTTGTGAGGGGTGATAAAGATTTTTTTTTTTTTTTTTTTTACACTGATTGCTTTTTTACACCCATATAGGATATTATTATATATAAAACATTTTTACACTGATTGCTTTTACACCCATATAGGATATAAAAGCAATCATTTCTCTTTCTCTCTGTGTGCATTCCTGCACTCATTGAGAAATACAGAGTGAGCTGTGATTTATTTTGGTGGTATTCATTCACCACTGGGATTTTTATTTTTTTGCTATATAAATGAAAAAGTTCACAAATTTTTTTTTTTTAAAATGTTCTTATAAAATTTTGCAAATAAATAATCTTTCTTCATAAATCTTAGCCAAAATGTATTCATCTATCTTTTTAGTAAAAAAAAAAAAAAAAAAATAGTTTATAACCAAAATGTATAATTTTTCCAAATTTGTTTTTACAAATTTGGCTAAGATTTTAAACACTTCAAGTCCAGACACTTTTACCCCCTTCCAGTCCAGGCCAATTTTCAGCTCTCAGCGCTATCACACTTTGAATGACAATTGCGCATTCATGCAACACTACCCATATGAATTTTTTTAGCATTTTTTTGAGACAGATAAAACTTTATTTTGGTGGTATTCATTCACCGCTGGGATTTTAATTTTTTTTTGCTATGTAAATGAATTTGCTATATAAATTTTTCTTATAAAATTTAGCAAATAAATAATCTTTCTTCATAAATCTTGGCCAAAATGTATTCATCTATCTTTTTAGTAAAAAAACAAAAACCAAATTAGTTTATAACCAAAATTTATAATTTTTCCAAATTTGTTTTTACATTTTTATATTATTATGTATGGCTTTTTTTTAACATACTGTCACCCTAGCAGTACAGTGTCACCATAGTGACACTGTACTACTTGTGGGGGGGTGATGATTATTTTTTCTTTTTTTTTTACACTGTTTGCTTTTCCACCCATAAAGGCTGTAAAATCAATCATTTCTCCTTCTCTCTGGCTGCATTCTTGCAGCCATTGAGAAATGCTGTGTGAGCTGTGATTGGTAACAGCTTGTCACATGGTACAAGGCTGTTGTGAATAGCTTTGTACCATGTGACCTCTGTGATCATTCACAGATTTCACACGTAGTAAGCAATGATGTCAGAAGTGACATCTTGCTTACTACTCTGCATGTGATCACTGATTGGCCAATCAGTGATCACATGATCGGGACCTCACACAGACACAGCGGGCTCTGATCGCAGTGCCGCGTGCTCCCAGGAAGCGCGCACAGGCAATGGATGCGTGGGGACATTTAGAAATGTCCACCCGCATCGGCAGCGCTCCCGTCCGGCCGTTTATCAGCATGGGCCAGACGGGAAGAGGTTAAACTGGTTGCAAAGGATGAAGGGTTTTTGTTACCTTAAAGCGGAGCTCCACCTAAAAGGGGAAGTTCCACTATAAGGACTCCTCTGCCTTTAAGGCTTCCTCCTCCCCCCACTCTCATGGGACATGTCACAGTTCCCAGAAGACGGCGGGACCATTTACAATGCGCAGTGTGGCTCGCGCATGCGCAGTGGGCACCCGGCTGTGAAGCCAAAAGCTTTCACAGCCGGGTGCCCACAGTTGAGATGCCTACGCCGGGGACAGAAGACTGAGGGAAGAGAGAGCACCAGACCTCCTCCGTAACGCCACACTGATGACCTATATGGAGCTTTTAAAGCGCCACCTATGGAAATATAGGGTACTGAAGTTTGTCGCCATTTCACGGGCGCATGAAACTTTGATGTTCGGCATGTTGGGTATCTATTTACTCGGTGCAACCTCATCTTTTTTATTTCAGCAAAAACGTACGTAGTTTGATGCGTTTGCTTGCCCTAAAGTGCACTTTCGGTAATATCGTGCGACATAAAAAATTAGAACTACCGATATTTTGTCCTCTAGGGTGTCTGCTTTCAGAAAATATAAAAGGTTTTAGGGGTTTGTGTAATCTTCAGGCCTAAAGTTATTTTTTAAATACATGAGCAAAAAAAAAAAAAGGAAAAAGGCTGTGGCAGCGAAGAGGTTAATACCCGATGGGTAATCCAGCCTCCCCATTAATAAGGAGAGGCCTTTTATTGCTGTCTGTGTCCTTATTGGAGGGATTTCCCCTCACTTCCTGTCCTGGTGACACCTGCATATGGAACAGGAAGTGAGGGGAGATCTCTCCCAGGAGGCAGGAAGCCCTGACAGAGGTGCTAGCCCTTCACAATGACATGAGGCCAGGCTGAGGTGAGGCTATGAAGGGTGAGTGAGCCCCAGCAGGCTGCCCCAATCCAAACACAAGGAAGGAGCCGTGGCCCTGTACCACCCCCCCGGTGACCCCCTCAGGTGTGAGACACCCGGTGAAGCTGCACTCACCTCACTCAGCATCCCTCTTCACCCTTCTGTCACAGATCTCCCGCCCCATCAGCCTGGGTACCACTGCCTGCCATACTGACAGCAGCCCCGCCCCTTCCTCACCCTATCTGCCCAATCAGCTCCATGGAAAAGGCGGCCAGACGAAGGAGTGACAGGAGGCTGACCTATCCAGTCGCAGTCTTCCCTTCCACCTCCCGTAGCCAATGGCAGCGCGTCCTCCCTCCTCTTGCTGAAGGGGCGTGCCCCCACCGCTCCGAAGATAGACAGCCCGCCCCTCCGCTACCTTAGCCGTCCAATAGGTGCACGGGAGGGGGCGGCGAACGAGCCGAGACAAAGGAGTGACGGGCGTTTGAGAGAGCCAGCCGCATTCACTCCTGCCGCTGGGCGGGGCCGCCCCGGTCCAATGGCGGTGCGGTACTTTCCACGCGCTGAGGAGGGCGGGCCCCTGCAGGAGAGAGCGACGGGAGGAGTGCCCAATCAGAGAGATGGGCGGGACGGAAGGCGGCCAATGGGCTGGCAGCGGAGTGCCTCAAATGGTCGGGGGGCTCAGCTGATGTCTTCCAGTGGAGTTGTTTTTGAACTGCAGAGGAGGCGAGCGCGGGGGGCACAGGGGGACATGACACCATGACAGCGGCTGCCATCCCCTGGCCGGTGGTGCTGGGGCTGACCGTGTTGGCCACGGGGCTGTGCTCGCTGCTCTTTCTGGCCGTCTATGTGCAGCTCTGGCTGCTGTTGCACTACAAGCAGAAGAGGCTCAGCTACCAGAGCTTCCTGCTCTTCCTGTGCCTGCTCTGGGCTGCCTTCAGGACCGTCCTCTTCTCCTTCTACCTGACCAACTGTGCCCAGGACATTGAGCTGCAGCCGTTCCCGCACTGGCTGCTCTACTGCGCCCCCATCTGCCTGCAGTTCTTCACCTTGTGTCTGCTCAACCTCTACTACTCCCAGGTGAGTTCCACTGCACTTCCTCTTCCCGCCTGCGGGGGGCGCGCTGCCTCCCCATCGGAATGAGAAAAATGGCCGCAGTTCCACCTTCTCACCGCCAGGGGCGTGCCGCTTCATTGGAGTAAAATAGTGTGCATCTCCTCACCGCCAGGGGCGTGCTGCTCCGCTTCATTGTGCTGTAAACAGCGCAATCCCTCTCCTCCACCGCCAGGGGCGTGCCGAATCCCTGCCTAGTAAAAAGCATGCAGTTCCCCTCCTCACCTCCAGGGGCGTGCCGAATCCCTGCCTAGTAAAAAGGCGTGCAGTTCCCTCTCCTCACCGCCAGGGGCGTGCCGAATCCCTGCATAGTAAAAAGCGTGCAGTTCCCCTCACCTCCAGGGGCGTGCCGAATCCCTGCCAAGTAAAAAGAATGCAGTTATGCTTCTGGTCAACAGGTGGCGTGCTAAGTCACATTAAAAATAAGGTGCAGCTCAACTAGTTACCTTTTTAATGGGGGGGTGCTCAGTTCTTTCAATTATGGTGCAGCTCACTTTGTCCTAAGGCGTAATATATAATTTATTATAATATAAATATTTTATTTTCATGTGTGTTAATGTGATGTTTTTCTAGGTGGGTGGGGTAGTTCATCTTTTCTCCAATGGGAGGCACACTGGCTGCCTATTAGAATAAATGGTAATTTTGTTCTGTATTGTGTCCCCCTTAGCAGTTCGTCCAAGCGGTGGCGGTAGTTCCTCCATTTTCCTGTGGTGGCACAATTTTTTTCCTCTGGGCTGTAGTGGGTGTGCTTCTAATTCTTCCTGGGGGTAGTTCACACCCCCCCCCCTTTTTTTTTTTTTTTTTTTTTCCCCTTGATGTGGCAACTCTTTCTCTGAACTGCAGAGGGTATGCTTTGTGCTTCTCTAACCCCCCCCCCAATCTGGCTAAATTTCTTTGTCCTCCGCTATTGTTCCCATGGCATTTCATCCAGAGGATGGGGGTAGTTCCCCCTTTGCCCATGGGGGACACATTGCTTGTATGGTGGTAGTTCATTCTCTGAGCTGCAGGCGGTGTGCTTCTACCCCCCCCAAATCTGCCTGCATTTCTTCATTGTGCTCAGCTATTGTGTTCCCGTGGCAGTTCTTCTAGGAAGAGTGGGATAGTTCATCTATTCTCCAGCAGGGGGTGCACTGGCTACCCATCAGTATAAATGTTAACTTGTCCTGAATGGCTTTTCCTGCAGCTGAGCCGATCATCAGAGGGTCAGACGCAGGTTAACGCCACTTACATGCATTTACATTCTCCAAGCTGCAGGGGGCACCCTGCTATCCTACAAGTCAGTTGCTGTTGCCCTGTATTCAGGTGGTCTCATGTATACATCGGGAGGGGGGGGGATTTTATTTTACCCTCCAAAAAGTTATTCTTGCCTGCAGCGGGTGATATCATTGGCTGACACTGTGGGGTCGGTATACTAAAACTGGAGAGTGCAGCTCTCTGCATAGAAACCAATTGGCTTCCGGGTTTATTTGTCAAATTTTAATTGAACAAGTTGAAGTTAGAAGCTGATTGGCTGGCTGCCATGCACAGCCACACCAGATTCTGAGTGATCCAGTCTCAATAAATCCCCCCCCCCCCCCAAAAAAAAAAAGATTCTGTAAATACTTCCTCTTTTTTGTTGTTCCACCCTTCATCTTTGTTTTGTTTTTTTTTTTATGCACTTAGTTATTAGGATGTTGCTTCAGGCTTTGGCCTGTAGGGGCCACACTAGCTCCCTTTCAGAATAAAGGGATGCTGTTTTGTTGCAGGTAAGTTTTTTTGTGAGGGTTTTTTTTCCCTCTTTCCCTGCGTGGAATAGATGACATCAGTTGCTTTGCACAGCTCAGAGCTGCTTAATGTGCTTGCTCATGCTGACCTCCTGGGGAATGCAGCTCCTCCTGTTGCCTGAAGGGGGCACACAGCCTTCCAGTCCCAACGCATGGGGTACTATAGCCTGTCTGGAATCTTGCATACAAGGGCTCAGCTACACAGGTTGAGTTGCCTCGTTCATTGGTGACACATTGACCTGTGTGCAGATTTCGGCACCATCCAATGGAAGGTTAGCCCTGAACCAATAAAAATCCATTAAGCTGCTTGTTTTTTTTTTTTTTTTTCGTGGAAAAAGTCGATCAATGGTAAATGCAGAGCTCTGCAGAGATTTTTGTTCTCCCTCCATGAATAAAATGGGTGGTGTTGTCGGTCCCCTTTGTGCCGCACTGGGTGATGTCACCCATCCGGTGTCTGGAGCCTCGGCTTCTAGAGTTCAAAAAATTAAAGTAGTCACTGCCTTGGTCCAGGTAGGTGTTCCTGGGTTGTCGCCCATTAACTCTTTGCTCACCCCAGAGCCTATTGGAATTTTATATTGCTGCAGCCGATTTCAGGTTCAGTCCCCAGAAATGTGTGTTTGGGGTGAGGAGGAGTGCGGCTTTGCAGCAAGAAGTCCACATCCAACATAATTTGGTTAACTGAACCCATGCAGATCTTTTATTTATTACTTTTGACCTATCAACTGTTGATGTAGTTGTTCACCTTGTCTACAGGGGGTGCACTCTCTGGCTATAAAGTTGGGTGAAGGGCTAGCTGTTTCTGTTAAAAATCTATAGTGGGCAATTTATTTATTTATTTTTTTTTTAGTTTTATCTACTTTTGTTCGTCATTTTCTGTATGCTGACTTTATTTTTTTTTATAAACATGTTCATTCGGCACATATAGCAATTTGTAACTTTGTATTTTTCATTCAAAATATTAAAGGGGATGATAGAGTGACAAGGAAAAAGTGTGTTTTTGTTTTTTTTTTGTTTTGTTTTTTTTCCCATGCAACAAAATGCACCTTTTTTTTTTTTTTTTTTTTTTTGTTTTTTTTTGTTTTTTTACTCTGTACTCCCACCTCATTTATGGAAGCGCTTTTTTTTTTTTTTCTAAATTTATTTTTTGCTACAGTGTACAACAAACTGTTTAAAAAAAAATATATATATATATATATATATATCTATATATATATATCTATATATATATATCTATATATATATATCTATCTATATATATCTATCTATATATCTATATATATATCTATATATCTATCTATATATCTATCTATCGATCTCTCTTAATCAATTTATTTTTTTTTTAACTTTTTTGATGCAACAAAAATAGATGTACACTATTTGAGATTTTTCTGTAGTCTACCCCATCAATTGGTGTTTTTTTGTAAGTGTGTGTGGTTTTTATTTTGTTTATGCAGCAAGACTGGGTATAATCTTTTAGAAAATGTTTTTTTATTTTGTAGGCCTCCTAGTGAGGGGTTTTTCACCCTCTCTAAATGGTTTTTCTGTTTCCTTTGTTCAGCATTGGCTGAGCTGACCTCCCTGGCACTCCGGGAAGCTTATGAAGACTTAAAAAAGCTGCTTGTTCTGTCTTCGGACTGTCAGGGGACCCGAGGCTTTTTGCTGAGTAAAGACTGATAATGATTTATGGATCCTTTTTTTTTTTTTTTTTTTTTTTTTTTTTTTTTTTTTGTCTCTTAGCAAGTGCTTGTTTGTGCAGTAAGGGGTGACATCACTCCTTTTTCAAACTGCTGATTCATAGTTTGACCTGCAGGGGGCATGTTCCCTGCTGAGTAATAAGGATATCAGCTCATTGATCTGTCATTGTGTAGCATTGATGACTTCCCTAGCTAACTCCTGTCACCCCGGAGCTATAGGGTGCTCTGTCATCCTGTTCCCCAGCACCAGGAGGAGGTGGTTTTAGGTTTTGTTTTTTTGTTTTTTTCCTTCCTACTGCTGATCAACAATGTGTGGAATGGCAGCAGCTGCATCACCTCTTTATGTGCTCCTATTGTATAATTTTTCTTTTTGTTGTGTGTGTTGCACCATGAATGGACCGAATCACCTGCCAGCATTTTGTATAGCTTAAAAGGGGGAAAAATGCAACAGATCCCCTTTTTTTTGTTGTTTTCTTTTTTTTTCTTTTCTTTTTTTTTTTTTTTTTTTTGTAGGTGGCATCCACCTGTGGATAACTCAGCTTATATTAACCCCTAGGAAGAATGGGCCACTATGATTTCTGCTGACAGCAGGAACATGCGTTCTGATTGGGTGTTGCTGCATTTCTTTGCCTTGTTGAAGTCTGAAAATGACCATGAGATGAGTGTGATATCTGTTATGTCAGATTTGTTCAGGACTCTCATGTGAATGTTGGTGCTTGTTTGGCTAACGCACTGTGCGGTCACGCTTTTAAAGATAGAAGACCGCAGCGAGCGTCTCACCCTTCTTTTGTTATTCAAATGCGGTCAGATCGAGCAGCGCGGATCATATGACCTTGTTTTTCTGTAAAGCTGTCGGGTGACAGGGCAGATGATGTCTCTTCAGGTTTAGAATGTAAGCTTTGTTGATGGTGCTGCTTAGTGTTAGCCCATCTATTTTCTTATTGAGAGAGATACAGTAAATTCATGACGTATTCAGACACCCCCCCCCCCCCCCCCCCCCCCCTTCGCTTTTTTTTAATGTTATGTTGCAGCCTGATGACAGTTAAAAAAAGAAGAAAAAAAAAATATATACAGTCAGGTCCATAAATATTGAGACATCGACACAATTCTAAAATTTTTGGCTCTATGCACCACCACAATGGATTTGAAATGAACAAGATGTGCTTTAACTGCAGACTGTCGGCTTTAATTTGAGGGTATTTACATCCAAATCAGGTGAACGGTGTAGGAATTACAACAGTTTGCATATGTGCCTCCCACTTGTTAAGGTCCCAAAAGTAATGGGACAGAATAATAATCATAAATCAAACTTTCACTTTTTAATGCTTGGTTGCAAATCCTTTGCAGTCAATTACAGCCTGAAGTCTGGAACGCATAGACATCACCAGACGCTGGGTTTCATCCCTGGTGATGCTCTGCCAGGCCTCTACTGCAACTGTCTTCAGTTCCTGCTTGTTCTTGGGGCATTTTCCCTTCAGTTTTGTCTTCAGCAAGTGAAATGCTCAATCGG